GGAAGATTGTAGGTGTTAAGGCCATAACCGTCGTAGCCTTAGCTCTTATACAAGTACATACGGGAAACACAACGGCAATTGGCAACTAGATAAAAAGAGAACCTGCCTAGATGGCAGTTAAAACGGGGAAGCCGAATTCCATATTGATCTATTACCAAACACCTGCTTGGTTGGGGTCGCTCTGTGGACTCCAAAACATCCTTTCGGGAACTTATTCTGGCACCAAGAACTCGTACACTGCGCTACCTGGAGGTAGACTAAAAATGGAGGTTAAAACGCCCCATATTTAAACAGTGGGGGCACATGGTGCATCTAACTTTACTTTGCTAACATCCAGCTCCCTGATTCACACACTTCCCTGCCCCCTTCGCCTCCATAATTTCATTCCTCAGTTTTGTTTCCCATAGTCTTTTAATTTGCATACAGTATTGCCTGCTAAACTGAGCAAATTCCTATAACATTGCTGTTTGCATCAATTTTTCTGTACGAATTCAGTTTTTGCATTCTCTCGAAGGTTATTCATGTTATGCAGCGAGAAGCGTTACAGCTGAAGAGCACTAGCCAAATTTCGTGGTTCTATTAAATTCTGAAATTCTTCCCTGATTTAAATTTGCAACAAGGAAAAAGATGCTTAAAATACGCCAAAATCCACACCAGGTGCGATACCGCAAACGGAAAAATATCGATCGGCCCGTTGCCGACAAGCACAGCAACACATGCAAATTGCTGATTGATAATGAAATTGACAGCCGCAAAGCAACACTTTAAAATTGCAAATCGATAGCGAAAGAAAAAATCTCACACCTGCATAGCTCGCAGCAGCTGACCTCTTTGACCAGGCCCTGATTAGAAAAAAAAGACGGGTTTCACGCGAACACAGGAAGAATTGTATTCTAAACATAAACGGAAGCGATTTTGGCACCCAATCAGGCGAGACGCACTTGGCGAAGGATTTTGTAGGCCACGGAAGGATTACCAGCATCCTTCACCATGGGGATCAGGCGCAAAACCAATTGCCGTCAAACTATGCTAACATCATTAAAGCAGGCAGGGACTGCAGTATTTCATGGAAATCATAAATTTCGGGATTTCGTTTCAGGTGCGGCCTTTCACTGCATAACATGAATAACCTACGAGAGAATACAAAATTGAATTCGCACAGAAATGCGATGCAAACATCAAGGTCGCTAACAATTGCCACGGATACTAAGCAACAATGTGTGCAAGTTAAAGGACAGTGGGGAACAAAAGTTCGGAATGAAACTTTTGAGGCAGAAAGGGGGCAGGGAAATGAGCAAATAGAGGAGCCTGATGTTACCAAGAGAAAAGTTAGGTTTTTCACGTGCTCAGCCTGTTTACATAGGTTGGGCTTTAACCGCCCTCTTTAGGGTTCCTTCAGGTTGCGCAAGGAACAAGTTGTTGATGCCCGACAAGAGACCTGAAAGGATGTGTTAGTTTCCACAGAGTGATCCGTACCACGCAGGTTTTTACTAATAGATAAGCGTGAAATTCTGTTTTCCCGTTTTAACGTCTAGACGATTTTCCATAGGCTTCAAACAATTTTTGCCAAATGTACGATATTATTGGACATACAGTCATTAAAAGAAACTATAAACATCCTTTGTGTGGGATGTTTGGTAATGGATGGACGTGTCATTCTGTTTTCCCGTTTTAACAGCCATCTAGGCTGGTTCTCCTTAGATCTAGTCACCAATTGCCGTTGCGTTCGTCGTATGCACTTGCATCCACAAGTGCATGTTAATTCATTGACACTTGTCGAAGTGGAATGCATTGGCAAGGCAGCCTTTGC